GTGTGTGTCCAGCATGTCTAACTTCTCAACAGCCTCCCTGGCTTTCTCTGAGGGGAACTATGGCAACGACAGCGGCTTGGCTGTTTATGTTGCAAAAGCAATAGACCCCACTCTCTGCTGGGACGACATCACCTGGCTGAAAAAACACACACATCTACCTGTGATTGTGAAAGGAGTACTGAATGGTACACACACGCACACACACACACGCACACCTTTTAATTACCCCAATTTCAACAGTGTGTTAGATAGATTTTAATGTGATTCTCCCAAAAGTAAAATCTTCATTTGCAAATTGATTTTCCTCTACACAGTAAAGTAAAAGTAAGTCATTATGGTCAGTGCTCAGTGTTGTTGGTATTTGCCTTCCTGAATTAAAAAACGCTTAATGGTGCCACATCAAGCTTGCCAATTATAATTTTTAAATGTATTTGTTCATTTGGCAGGTATAATGACTCCACATTAAGACCTCTTTTTTTTTTTTTTACATTTATTCGTCACTCCCACCACAACATTCTGCAAGTAATTCATTTGACTCAGTTAAAATTTTCATTTGTATAGCGCCAAATCATAACAAAAGTTATCTCAGGACACTAAACCTTACTCCTTATAAACATATTTACAGAGAGCCAATAGTTCCCATCATGAGCAAGCACTTGGCGACACCAGCACAGTAAAATAAAAAAATTATACTCAACCCTTCCTTCTTAACATAGTGGTTAAGTCAGTGATAAAACAGAAGAAGATGCTAAATTAAAGTACAGTACATGGTTAGAATTATATTGACATGTATTGACGTATACATCAATGGTGAATGCTTCAATGGTCCTGTAGTGTTTTTAAAAATAGGGCTCCAAACAGACTCAAACTTTCCAGATGACCTCCTCAAATTGTTCTTAATTTTCTCCAAATCTAAGAGCATCATGAGGTTTTTGAGCCCTAGAGATTGTTTAGGGTAAAATGGTGACTTCCAACAATATTCTTCTACGTGCTAACAAGAATGCAAAGGAAATACTGTCCTTTATATTCCTCCTAATTATTTGCTGATCTGTTATTACTTTTAGCAGCGCTCACAGATATTACATGCCTGACTTTGGTCCAAGATCCACTTGTCAGCTGAATGTGTGTGTGTGTGTTCAGGTCAGGATGCCATCCAGGCTGTGAACTACGGTGTTGATGGCATCGTGGTGTCAAATCACGGAGCTCGACAACTGGATGGAGTTCCTGCCACGGTCAGTGTGTGTGTGTGTGTATTGTTCTTTTATGAAATAACGAGTATCAGAATCTGATCTCTCAGAAATGATCTTCTTTTAAAACTGTATCTATAACATAATCTCTTCTGTTTTATACTGCAAAAATGACATATTGTAGGCTGTAGACAATAAACTTAAATATGGCATTTAAACTAGTCCTAATTGGTTTGTAATGTTTGTATTTGTAACATAGCTGCACTCTGGTCTCTGTCTTTAAAATATATTTATAGTGTTATTCTACACTTTACTTATTGTCAACAAATCCCTTGTTGCGTTCCCCAAATGTGTTGGTCTTTTGATACTTTCTGACTATCCTATCTGTGGCACTCAAGTCCATCGGTTCCTACTGTCTCAGAAGTTCACAGCTGGAAGCTGTTTGGTTGACATTCGCCTGTGATGGACAGTGATAGACAGATGGCTCTTCTAATCGATAAAGTATTTTATGGAAGTGCCTGCCCAATATAACAGTCAAACTAGTTTCCATGGAGAAAAACCTTCAATGCCGTTTTCTTTCAATTAAGAAATACTCTCCAGTTCTGATAGAACTGATGTTACCAGCATCTGTGCTATTTTTTTCTTTAGCTGCCACCATGTTTAATGAACAGTGTCTTCTTTCTGCGTTTCCCCTAAGCCACCAGTCCAGGGGTCAGCAACCTTTGCTATCAAAGTAGCCATCTTTGACAAAAAAATAAATGTAAAATCTGTCTGGAGCTGCAAAGCATATTTGAATCTTATAATGATCATTTCCCCCAGCAGATCAAACACACCAGTAAGCCAACAGGCTTTGGGGGTGAAAGCAAACAAGCCAATTTTTTTTATTTGGTGTGTAATGGCTACACAGTTTTACAACTGGAGAATGTAAAAATCACTACAACAGGCCTACAACAATCATAAATGATTCATTAAATGTACTGTATCTGACAATATAAGTGTGTGTGTTTGTGTGTGTAGCTGGATGTGTTGGAGGATGTAGTGAGGGCAGTGCAGGGTCGCTGTGATGTCTACATGGACGGAGGAGTGAGGCAAGGGACAGATGTCCTGAAGGCTTTAGCTATGGGAGCAAAGGCCGTCTTCATCGGCCGACCGGTGCTGTGGGGCCTCGCCTGTCAGGTGAAGCAGCACACTCATTGACAGTGTCATTAGCCTGGATTAGGAGGGTGGCTCAGAGTCTCAACACCAATCACTCAGATGCAATATTTGTAGAGAATGAATTTTTTGGCCGACACTAGTCCAAACACTGTTAGGCATTTTGCTGGTTTCAACAGGTTAATCTTAAAGGTCCAGTGTGTAGGATTTAGTGGCATCTAGTGGTGCAGTTGCCGATTGCAACGTACAACTCGGTGAGCACGAAAACGTGCTATGGGCCCTATTTAGAAACAGTTTTAGTTTGTCTGTTCTGGGCTACTGTAGAAACATGGCACTTCAACATGGTGAATTCCACAGAATGTGACCCATGGGGTCTGTAGATAAAAACAGCTCATTCTAAGGTAAAAAATTATATATTTTAAGGTGATTATACACTGATTAAAACATACCTATAAATATTATATCCAATTTTTGCCAATTGATCTTCCTAAATGTTACGCACTTTCCATACTGATTAAAGTACAAAAGAAAATCAGTATTGGTTCCATGTAAATTTCATTTAGTAGTTGTTACAGTTACAATTGTTACAATTTATTTTCTCAAAAATAGATTTAAAAGCCAGACTGAAGACATTTTATTGTTAACGATTGGATTTTAGACTTTTTAAGAACCCACAGACACCCTCAATGTGTGAAAGTGAAAGTGAACTCTGATCTGACTCACTATTTTGAAATTCAGTTCCACTTCAAATTTTGGTCATTAAAGTGATTAGCATGTAACCAAACATTTATCAATATTAGCTCAAAAATAAAGATGGTTATTAAAAACGTCAGACTAAATGTAATTGATAAAACAACATTAACATTCTAATGTGGCACACAACTAAAGGAATGTGTTCACATGCAGGGGGAACAGGGAGTTAGGGAGCTTCTGGAACTTCTGAAAGAGGAGCTGAGACTGGCTATGGCCCTGTCAGGTAACAAACACACACACACACAATCTTTCTAAGACCACTCTGTTTGTGTGTGTGTGTGTGTGTGTGTGTAGGTTGTCGTTCTATATCCGAGGTGAGCAGGTCTCTGGTCAGGAGAGTGGAGTTCACATCCAGGATGTGAGAGAAGAACCTGTTGGAAGGAATTTCCAGATAATACATTAATTAATTAGGGATGAAGAATCCTGATCAAGGTTTTTTTCTTTTCCTTCTTTTCCTGATCCGATCGAAGTCATCCCAATTAGATTTAGATTTTTCAAAGTAACAAAGCAGGCGGGGGCGTGCTCTCCACTGCTGTCTGTCTCTCTTCCTACAAGCAGAGTGGAGGAGAGACAGCAGAGAGTAGACAGTGGCTGCACTGGGCACGAAAGCTTTGCAAGTAAAAACGTGTAAATAAAATGAAGGATTGGGTCGGGTCAATTAGCCAATACCGATCAGTTAAAAATTCTTTGAGATGTGATTGGGACATCTTCATTTGCCATTTTCTGTATTCAGACTTGTTAAACCTTCAATCAAATCCTTTAAATAAAAAGCCTGATTTATTTTGGATGATACTGAATGTGTTTTATTTAAGGATTTTAAATTCAAAGTTAAAGATTTTTGCTCAGAACACTAGATCATTTTAAATGTTTAGAAATGGAAATATTTTCATATATGCAAAAGAAAATGGACAATTTCTGAGACACTGCAGCAAGAGACAACTGCTCCATATCTATAACAAACCCTTCTGATTGGATGTCCTGTAGCACAGCACCAATCATGACATCATCCAAGAGAGAACAAATAATAGATTTGGCTCTTTAATTGAATAAAAACAGATTTCAGTTTACATTAATAATTTAAAAACTGATGATGAACATTATTATTATTCAAAGACATCACACAGTCTGGCCAATAAGAGCCTCAGTACCCCCAGCCAATCAGAACTCTCCTGTGTATCTGTCAGGGCGTGGCCTTGCAGCGTCTCTGTCGTCTGTAGAGGTCAAAAGTCCATTGAGGGTGTCGTGTTGATGGTCGGAGCTTGTAGTTTACTGGTTCCTCTTCTGGTGAGAGGGGCTTCTGTCTGAAGAGGTCAGAGGTCATGAAGGGGAGGAGGGAGGGGCTAGCGGCTGCCTTGCTGCCATGGCAGCGGGGGGGCAGGGCCAGCAGCAGCCTGTCCTGCAGCACCTGGCTGATCAGCTGATCGTCCTGCACATCCACGCTGACCAATGAGGTGAAGAGAAGCTGAGAGGGGGAGACGTTCACTACTACAGACAGACACAGAGAGAGAGAGAGAGAGAGAAGAAAGAAAGGTTGTGAAATGCTAAATGTACACTGAAGCTAGAGTTGAAGTGAAATCTAAAAACCTAAAGTAAATGAAGACAAAAATAAATGAAGTCCAATTAGCACAGATTCCATTATTTTAAACTAAACTGGTGCTCAATGAGTTCAATGTAGGGGAGATCTAGGTAGTATCAGATCAATCAATAAATCACGAGCTCGTTTCTAATAAAGGGGGGTGTCAGTCTGCTGAGGGACAGTCCAGGCAGCCTCCTCCCTTCTCCAAACAGAAATAAGGGAGGTGAGAGGTCCTCCATAATGCTTCTCGCCATGAGGAGGAGGAGGAGACATAAAATGAGGCGAATGAAAACACCCTGTGCATGTGTGTTACCTTCAGTAGCTCTGGTGTTGATCAGGTTTTTGGCCCTTTTTGACCTCTGTAGAGTCTCCTGAATGGCCTTCCGGGAGTTAAACTCCACCCCCTGCAGGACAAACGAATGGTTAGCCCGCTGTTAGTCAGCTCAGTGACCATATAAACATGATCTACTAAGAAACAGTGAACCTGCAGTGACTGGAGCTCTGCCTTCAGGGCCAAAGTGGTGTTTAGCTCCGCCATCTCCAGACTGCGTGGATCTGGATTAGATGCTGCAGCAGGAGGGTCCACCAACTGCCTGGGGGCTACAGCAAGCAGAGGAGAGGAAGAAAAATGACTTTTATTGATCAATCTACTAATCAGCAACCACTGAGACAGTCCGACTGATGAGGAGGAACTAGAAATCAATATACTCTACTGGAGACAACAAAAACACTGTAAACTTATTGTTATTGATGTTGTTTAACAAAGCGGGATAAAGGAAAACAATTGACGTTTGTTAGATACGATTGTGCTGCTGTGTCCTGATGCATTATAAAGATGCAACTTCTTAAACTGTGCAGAACAGAATCAATACAATATGCAAACCTGGAAGCAAATAACTGCCATTAAGATTTGACTCTTGTAAGCAACTGGATTCCCAACTGTGATTTAATTTAATCACTACTCAATTCTTAACGTTGAACTTTAAATACCACTGAATTTATAGCAATTAAAGAAGCATTTCACCCGTGGAAACATTAATCTTTATTGAAAGTGGGTTATATATGTAGTCGAAATGTAACATAAATTGTGAATTTGGTGCCCTATTTGACCGAAGAAACAGAGTGTTGTATGCTGACCCCCCTCTAGAAGAAAGCATATGAGACTTCCTGCTTCGCAGTGATTTTTACCATCATAAAGCAGGAAGTGCAACCACTGAAATCCGTATTTGTCCCCCCGTCTGCAGGGAAAATGAGGGAATGATGCACGAGCCGATCCGTCGTCAAAAATATGACTGGGTTTTCTAACGATAGCAAAGCTTATGCAAATGGGTGAAGTAAGATATCTGAGGGCTTAAAAAAGACCCAACAAACTTCTATTCTGAAATGCGCCCTCTTCCAAAATATTCAACAGTCACCCTTTAAAACTTTTAGTATAGAGTAAGTTATGCATTTTTGGGTTTTAACAAATTTAAAAGGAGAAATATCCAAGGTACTTCAAATATTAACAAAACTAATTCATGGACAGCTCTGAAGATGCAGCTAGGTCTATTCGTGATGCCAAAACAGCCTGGTCAACATTGTGATGCCTAAAACATGTATGGTGAAAATTGGCCCGATCTAAACAAGTCTGGATAGCTAAACGGATAATCCCAAATCGAAGTCTGAATACCTCTCCCTTTATGTATAACTATCTATTGCCCCCGTCCTCAAAGACCATGCTGGCCTGTCAAAGCTTACGTTCCATCCTATCATGGAGTGATCTGTGGCTGCCTGTTAGGGTGCAAACCCTTTGTACGCTTCGTTACAATGTCGAAGGAAAAGAATGAAGATTTTTTGTTATGGATAAACAGTGGGTTTGTTTGCTGCTCATGTAAGCTGTGCCTGCCTAGTGCTTAGTTTAGCTATGCCTACAATAGTACTGAAGAGCGCAGGAGACTGGTAAAAAAATACACCACACTCCCCTTTACGCGCAAGTAGAGTAGCAAGGAAGCACCTCAAGGTTTAACCTCAAGTAAAGGAAAAAAAACGTCAGGAATCTGACCATGTGTTCCAAAGTAAACGTGCCCTTCTTTTGGTTTCTATGAGGGAGAAGCACCCTTGTACAAAAAGCTGTTTGCTGTGCAAAGCCTTCAAAAAAAGCAGGGTTTGAAGTATCGCCGCTCCTCAAAATCCTGATCTCCTGCACAGAACAGCACCACTCCTACTGCCTAACATTCCCCCACTTCCAATAAATCCAATGATTATTACAAATATTACAGAAGCGCACCAGGAGGAGCCATGTTTCGCTGCGCTTTCCTCCTAGGCGAATCCCCGATTAAGCGATCCGAAAATGGCTAATTAAGAAATACACTTTTAATGGTATAAAGGTGGAGTGACGGGGTACACTTAATGGAGTAGGGCCT